ATATTCACCAAGTGACCCAGTCCAGATCCAGTGACAATATTCACCAAGCGATCTGCTCCAGATCCAGTGACAATAATCCCCAAGTGATCTGGTCCATGTCCAGTGACAAAAATCACAAAAAGATCTGGGACAGGTTTGGTGACAATATTCACCAGGGTCTGGTGACACACCAAGTGATCCGGTCTGAGTCTGGTGACAGTATTCAACAACTGATCCGGTCCGGGTCTGGTGACAATATTTATCAAGTAATCTGATCTGGGTCTGGTGGCAATGTTCTTTAGATAAGTTGCAGTTTTTAATCCTAGTCATCCTCAGGTCTTCAGTCCTAATCCTCAGTCAGTCCTGATCATCAGCTGGTCCTCAGTCAGTCCTCAGTCCTGGTCCCCAGTCATCTTATTGACCAACTTGTTGCTGGATTGGTTGAAAACCTTTTCTGGGTCAGTTCTGGTAGACATGACCAGATGGTCCTGGTGGTTAACTCTCTCTAGATTATATTAGAAGTTATCTTTAGGATTATATGTTTAAAATAATAATCCTGTAAATTTAAGAGCAGGAATTTAATCTGTCCAGATTTTCCTCTGAGGTCGTCTTTCAGTGCTCGGCAACAATCTGCCCCTGTGGATGTTTCCCTTCCCAGTCAGTCTGTAAGTTTCTGGGAAACATCTGTCAGACGTCCATGAATGTTCGAGCCTCATCAGAGACATTTTCATGCCAAGTCGTGACCCAGTCTGTACAATCGTCTCTCTCCAGATGATGTTCTGCAGAACCTCTGAGCCCACTGTCATGGGGGTGTCTGGTGTTTCTTTCAGTTTGGAGCACTCTGATCATGCCTGATTATGAGACGCCTCGCCCGATGACTTGTGAATTTAGTTTTAGTGACTGATTGCATTACAGAAGACGAGTGTTCGGGTTCGAGCCAGTGACTGAGGAGGAGCAGAGATGTAATCACGGCGTCCGATCCGGTCAGCATAAATCACAGGAACGGATCGTAGCACGCTCGGCTCCGGGTCTCTGGCGTCCGCGGGCTTCACCCAACCCTCACGTTGCCATGGAAGCAACAGCTGCTAAGAGTCCTCAGTTTTACCTCCTGGTGTGAGGTTACAGCGAGGACGATGATCCAGCTCATTCCAGCAGACACACACACACACGCATGCACGCGCACACACACTTCATTCCTTCATGACTGTCTCTCGGTTCCTCCTCACCTCCCTGTGATCAGCCGCTGACCTCCTCCTATCTTGTTCCCTTCGGTCTCGATCTTTCACCTCTGAATGTTTTCACGTTTCTTTAGGAAGAAAAAATCCAGTGAAGCTGAAACATTTCGAAGTTTCATGTTTAAACTGATTTAAAAGACGTCCGAGGACTGAGGTGCGCTTTCCTGAAAGTAATGAAGGCTGATGAAGAATCCACCTGGAATGTGAAAATGTCCCATCTGAGGACAAACTGAGGACAATGTGTCCCACGAGGCCACCACCCAGCCTTCATTAACTGCTCGTTTTGCTCTCTACGAGGCGACCTGCTTCATTTATTGAACATTAGGAGCTCCAGCAGCTACCTGATAACACCAGCGTTACCAGCAATGTCCTCTGGAGCCGAATCAGATCTTCTCCAGACTGAACCAGTCCTTTTAGGCGCTGAACTTTTGTTGTCAGTGGAAAGATGTCCACAAGATTACGAAATGGATCAAAAACTGTTTGATTACAAAAGAAGTTTCTTTCAAATATTTCAAATCATTTAGTTTTGTTTCTGTGCCAGTAAATCCCATCTCCATCTCTCTGTTCGTCAGGTTCAAGCAGTAATTTACTGTTTCTGTCTAGAACAAACTCACAGAATTATCTTGTCTGCACATGAGCAACATTAAAAATAATAAATTAATAAAAGCTCAGCCTTCCTTGAAGAAGTGCAAATCACCTGCTGACATTCGTGCCCAAGTTTCAGACTCAAGTCTTAGACAGTTATAGATGTTTCAGTTAAAAACAGTCGGGATGCTTTGTTTACTCGCAACGGTAAACAAACACCGGTAAAAACAATAACGTGTTTTCAATTTCTTTTTAAGATTTTCATTCAAAATGATGTGTAATGTTTTGGATTTATCCCCCCCCCCCCACACACACACACACACACACACACTTTGTTTAGAGCCTCTTCAGACGAGTTTTGAAGGAAGTCAAACTGAAAATATATATTTTAGTCGTCACGACTCAGTTTACAGATACTACATGTGCTAATGAACATACAATGATGACAACACATTATTATTATTATTATTATTATTATTATTACTGATGAACCCCTACATGTCAGCAGCTGAAGTCAAACTGCGCGTCAGAATGGGGAAGGAAGAGGCTTCAGGGGGTTGTTGGTGCCGGATGGAAGGCCTGAGTTTTAAAGATGATTACTGTGGACTGCCTCGAGGGAGTGGTGGCGCAGAGGTTAGAGAAGGCATGTGATCGAAAGATCGCCGGTTCAACTCCCGGTACAGACAACATCAAGATGTGGGTGAGAAAAGTGAAGCACTCACACCTGCCCCCACCCTCATTTGCCTCACTCTGTGCCCTTGAGCAAGGCCTTTAACCGCCACCATCTGCTCCACACAGAGGGCTGTGGTAGCTCGGTGGTCAGTGGCTGCGTCAGGAAGGACATCCGGTGTAAAAACAATCACCAAGTCTTTGTGTGAGTTAGTTCTCTGTGGTGACCTCTGAAGAAGGAGCAGCTGGAAGAAGAACAAACTGTGGACTGCAGAGAAAGGCAGACATCTACTATTATCCACCTGAAAATGGTCTTGAACGTCTATTAACTTTAATGTAGCACAAATTGCAATGTGTACTCCCATCCACCCCATTCATCCACCCATACATCCACCCATCCATCCATCCATCCGTCCATCATCAGGTCTTGGGGGCAGCATCTTGATCAGGGAAGTCCAGACATCTCTTTCCACAGCTTCCTCTTCCAGCTCTTCTGGGAGGACTCCAAGGTGTTCCCAGACCAACTGAGAGACATCTCTCTAGTGTGTCCTGGGTCTTCCCTGGGGTCTCCTCCCAGTTTGAAATGCCTGAAGCACCACCCCTAGGGAGGTGACCAGGGAGCATCCTTACCAGATGCTGAACCACCTCCACTGTCTCCTCTGGATGTGGAGGAGCAGAAGTTCTACTCTGAGTCTCTCCTGATAACTGAACTTCTCACCCTATCTCTAAGGAGAGTCCAGCTACCCTGCAGAGGAAACTCATTTCAACCTCCGTGATGTGTGCTAAACCTTTATTGGAATTTCGAGTTACCATGGTGACGTAATTTGCAAATAGAGACGCCATTTTTCCCATTGGCAAACACTGAGAGAACTCTTTTTTTTCATTCAACCTTTATTTCTAGAAGTTAGTCTCACTGAGTCACGAAGACTCATTTTCAAGGCTTTTAACAAAAAAAAAAAACACAGACGAGGTGCACAACAATAGACAAACCGGATCCCAAAAAAGTTGGGACCAAAAAAGTTGGGACACTAAACAAATTGTGAATAAAAACTGAATGCAACGATGTGGAGGTGCCAACATCTAATATTTTATTCAGAATAGAACACGAATCACAGATCAAAAGTTTAAACTGAGAGAATGTATAATTTTAAGGGAAAAATCTGTTGTTTCCAAATTTCATGGCGTCAACAAATCCCAAAAAAGTTGGGACAAGTCCATTTTTACCACTGTGTGACATCCCCCCTTCTTCTTACAACACTCAACAGACGTCTGGGGACAGAGGAGACCAGTTTCTCAAGTTTAGAAATAGGAATGCTCTCCCATTTATGTCTAATACAGGCCTCTAACTGTTCAATCGTCTTGGGCCTTCTTTGTCGCAGCTTCCTCTTTATGATGCGCCAAATGTTCTCTATAGGTGAAAGATCTGGACTGCAGGCTGGCCATTTCAGTACCCGGATCCTTCTCCTACGTAGCCATGATGTTGTGATTGCTGCAGAATGTGGCCTGGCATTATCGTGTTGAAAAATGCAGGGTCTTCCCTGAAAGAGATGACGTCTAGATGGGAGCATATGTTGTTCTAGAACCTGAACATAGTTCTCTGCATTAATGGTGCCTTTCCAGACATGCAAGCTGCCCATGCCACAAGCACTCATGCAACCCCATACCATCAGTGATGCAGGCTTCTGAACGGAGCGTTGATAACAACTTGGGCTATCCTTGTCCTCTCTGGTCCGGATGACATGGCGTCCCAGTGTTCCATAAAGAACTTCAAATCGTGACTCATCTGACCACAGAACAGTCTTCCATTTTGCCACACTCCATTTTAAATTACCCCTGGCCCAGTG